ATAACAGTTGAACCAATTACCTCCGGAGGTTGTGAGCACTCCAACACTGGAGGCATTCAAGAGAAAACTGGACAACCTGCTTTGAGCAGGGGATTGGACTTGATGGCTTAATAGGCCCCATGCAACCCCATTGTTCTATGATTCTGTGATTCCTGCATAATCCATAGTATCAAGAAGGAAAGATAGAAAAGATGGCATAAGAATATAATATGCAAGCAAAAGGCTTGTGCATAGCTCTGTTTTGTTTTATTAAGCAGGAATCACCTAAATTCCGCCATTGTATGAAAACAGTTGTGTTGCACTATATTTGCCTCATAAATTAACAAAGACTACATTTTTCAAAAAAGATGACCCCAAAACAAGCACTGAGAAATTTTACTTTTGGGGGACTATACTTCCCAAAATTACCCCCCTAACATGGAATAGGCCTCCCCCCAATTTACTGTAACCATGGAATCCAAATACTGTACATGAATTTTGTAACTGAGAATCAGATCCCATAAAAAGGACTCTCCCCCCTCCCTTGGGTTGAATTTTCATTTGCGTTTTGATCCTGAAGTGTAACTGCCAGGGTTACAATTTGCATTAAAATCCATGTTGTTTTCTTTCTGAAAACAGGGCATTTGTTTCATAAGGACCAGTCGTCCAGAAAATACTGTGATTTATGGCAGCAATGAGGACTTCCATGTGGGGCAAGCCAAAGTGAGTATCACCTCAAAAAATGTATTTAACCTGTCTGAACTACATTTCCTAGAAAAACAGTCTGTCTCAGCATATGGGAAACAGTTTTCTTGGCCACCCTGAAGCATTGCCACTGACTGGTGCTCATCATTTTAGACAGCAGCAACACCTAGGAGTTGCTCTTATTTGTCTTTCCTTGTTGTTGCCAGGTGGTCTTCAAGGGGAAGGATGACCAGGTGACTGTGATTGGAGCAGGAGTGACTCTGCACGAGGCGCTCGCGGCCGCCGAGCAACTCAAGAAAGGTGACCATGTAGTGAACTGCCTGTTGGAATTGTTTTTGTAACAGAAGGGAAGATTTATTTCTTGTCCTCAAATATTGTGTTTATGTCAGGATATTTAGACAAGCAGTAACAAAATCCCATGCTTTGTAGATGGTTATCATGCTGGTCAAGTCAAGGTCTGTGGAAGTGGGAGCAGTGGAATACAAAGACTCTAATTCTAGGGAATGAGGAAACAGAAAAATATGGCTTTCTGTTAATAGCAAACCTGTTTTGCCTGTAAGGTGGCTATACAAAGATGTGCAGTAGTTTCCAGTAAACATATGCGGATGCTTTAGTAGGGCTTTTTCTGTAAAATGTTGAATCTTTGTGCATGCTTTTGGGGATTTTTTCTACTTTACATTTTGAATCACATGCTTTGCTACATCCTCCTGTTTTTCCATTCTTCCTCTTCAGAAAAAGTTCCCATCAGAGTGATTGACCCATTCACTATCAAACCTCTGGATAAGAAAACTATACTTGAAAATGCAAGGGCAACCAAAGGCAGAATCATCACTGTGGAAGACCATTACTATGAAGGTAGGTCAATGGGCTTGATAACCAGGCAGAAGGGCATGCCGGATACCAATAGGTTGCCACTGATCCGTTCCCAGTGCCTGTTCTCCAGCTTCATAAAAAAAGGCACAGCACCTATAAAGGCAGAGATTGGGCTTCCCTGGGGATAGTCCAGTATTGTGCTGATTGTGCAAGCATTCTTGCAAGTTTTGCGTTGCATTTATGTTCCCTACTATGGTGCGTGGGGTTACGTAACAACAACTTTTTAGGAAGCAAAATAATCAGAAGGTTTGAGACCTAAAATGCTATTTTATACATACCAGTGGTGCCTCGCTAGACGATGATAATCCGTTCCATTGAAATCGCTGTTTAGCAAAATCATTGTCTAGCGAAAAGCATTTCCCCATTGGAATGCATTGAAACCTGTTTAATGTGTTCCAAGGGGGAAGAATCGTTGTTGTCTAGCGAGGATCAGCCATAGGAAAGCTGTTTTGTGAACCGCCGATCAGCTGTTTAAATTGTTGCCTTGCTAAGCTTAGGTCCCGAAAACACTCGTTTTGTGAGCACGGAGGGAGTTGTTAAAATCATCGTTTGCAAAGCAGGGACCAGACATTGTCCAGTGAAATTCCCCCATAGGAATCACTGTTTTGCGAATCGCTATAGCGATCGCAAAAAGTCAATGTCTAGCAAAAAAACTGTCATGTGGGGTAACTGTCTAGCGAGGCACCACTGTACTTACCTGTCCCCATGTAAAATAGGCAAGGGAGTCACTGAATCTTTGACCACTTGGAACCAGAAAGCAGTTTCTTTACCCTTGGCTCCTCTGCCCTACTGTTGTCCTAGGAGGAGATCATCTCTCACGATGTGGCTCCAAAGTACTAATCTTGTTCTTAGAAGAAAAAAACTGTTTAGGCAAAAGCCTCTCATGGAACAAGCAACTGTGCAGCCATTCTGATCCCTTGGAATGGTCCAGTTGTTTTCTTTTTAAATAGCTGCATTAAGCCGCTTACAGAGAAATAAAGCCTCCTGGTCTTGACTTATCACCTGTTGTCTATCATCTTTCTGCAGGTGGCATTGGAGAAGCTGTCTCTGCTGCTGTGGTGGGAGAGCCCGGGGTCACCGTCACTCGCTTGGCTGTGTCCCACATACCAAGAAGTGGAAAGCCGGCTGAGCTGCTTAGGATGTTTGGCATAGATAAGGAGGGCATCATCCAGGCAGTGAAGATGGCCGTGTCCAAGTCAAGAAATGCAGAGTAGCTGGAATCATACCCCCCACCGAGTTATCATGAGAAGTGTTGGAAGGGTGGAGGGGGAAAAAAGGAGAGTACTTACACAGTCAGATGCTGGTTAAAAGTATGTGCAGGAAGTTTTAATGAAAGAGTTCTAATAAAAATGTTTTGGGATTAAATTAATGCTTTTTGGGTTTATTCCCCCCTGCTAGCTGTTTTCTTGAACAGTAATGAGATAATGTGGGAATACATATACAGACAAATAGTGTCCCAAGGCATTCAACTGATGCATACAAATTCTATTCTCCCCTCGTCCCCCTTCCAAATATTAAATTGCTGTAATTTAAGGACATCACACAGTGGACCAAAACAGGATGTTGTTTTCTTCTCCAGATAAACCTGGGATGGTAGGCTAGACTAAGAGAGAGTGATTTTTCCCAACTCCATGAAGTTACTGGACACGGTTATGCTCATTCAGGCACCTTTTGAGTTGTACTACCTTACAGTGGACCCTCTACTTATGGAATTAATCTGTATTGGAATGGTGGCTGCAGGTCGAGTCTCCATTTACCTACAATGTATTGAAAACCGATTAATCCCATAACCGGCTGTTTTTGTTTGATTTTTGTTCCATTTTGGGTTTTTTTCTGGTCTGTAGGCCGATTCTCCGGCTGCAAGGCAAACCTAAATGTTGTGGCCAGAGAAGTCTGTAACTCGAAAAGTCTGTAAGTCGAGGGTCCACTGTATTCCTCAGTTTGGGTTCCCCCCCGCTTCCTATTGGCTGAAGGAGGGACCCTTGTGGTGCAACTTTGTCTCCCGGTCTGCCTCCTTGATGCACCATCTAGTTCCACTGCTTCTTCCCCTATTCTTTGACATGCCTTTCCAACTCACAAGTCAGCCTCAGCAACTCCTAGCTGCCATGCATGTTTCTGGTGCAAATATTGGGAGAAGCAAAACAACAACTTATGCTGGCTTGGAAAAGGCCAAGGGCCGTATCTCTGTGCTCCTTTGGCTTGCCTGCCTGAAATCGGTGCGGCCTCAGCCAGAATACCTGGACATACTTCCTGGCTCAGCTATCATTCCATTTGAGCAAAAAAGTACCCACAGATGGAGTGTCCTTGGACTCTTCTGAGTTTTGTGATCTATTATTAGCCTGTTCAACCATCTATGCTTGGAGCAAAGTTGAGCATAGAGTCTCAAGTGTATAGGGAAACTATGCTGTGGTTCAAAGAGTGGAAGGGAAGACAGGAACTTGTTATTATTTATTCATTGTTTTTCTTCTTTGAGCAGTTCCATACATACCCGACAGGCCATGGTGTTGTTGGTTCCAGATGGTCTCCCACCCAGAGCTACGCGGATTTATCAACTTCAGCATATTTCTGTTCATCCGTCAGTACAAAGAGTGGAATAGTCTATAAGCTTGGTCTGTACTGCCCTCATGGTGTTTGGCTATAAAGCTCATATTCCTTTAACCCAAATGTCTGCATTTGGGTAAAGCCTAGGCAGCTGGATCTGGTTTTGACAGGTCACCTCTTTTTCCCTTGGCTAATGTAGGATGCTGAAGATGAAAGCCTTTCCCTTCCAATTAATTTAGAAAGAAGTTAGACAACTAGTTCACCACACAACAGAACGTCTTTACCGAAATCCCTTTCACGTGAAAAAACGGTGCAGCTTGGTCCTCTGTTTATTTAGAGAGCCTTTCAGTTCTGTGGTCTTACAGCAAAGTAGGTGTGCAATTGACTGAAAGAACATTCTGCATCTGCCCTTAGCCTTTTCCTCTGAATCATGTTCACGACCGAAACAAGTTATGGGACACCAACAACGATTCAGAAAAATGAAATGGAAAATGGGGCACTGATGGCTTTTATCCAGGAAACACCTCTGTATCCAAGGTAGCATGCCTATAGAATATATACACCGTTGAGGTACACAAGGGGGAGGGTACAGTTTTGGCCCTGTCTTTCTTGTGGGTTTTCCATACATATCCGACAGGCCATGGTTAGAACCATATGCTGGATTAGATAGGCCATAAATTTGATGCAGCACAATTCCTTCCATGTTCTTCCACATAACACATAACACCTATAAAAGGCTATATATAAAATCTGAAGTACCAGTATTAACATTAATAGTACAATTTTATTGTCTAATTATCTTTGCATTTTAATTTGTTTAATTTTACCTATATTTCATATAAGTCCATAATTTTAAATTTTGCAACCCTCTAAATCAAAGAAAGAAAGAAGAAAGTATACAATTTCATATACAGTCTTAATTTAATCTTTAACATCTGCAACCTTCATTCATGCCAACATCCAGCAGAGAGGAGAAGCAGCAGGTTATAATTATTAAAACCATTTTTGCTTTCTGAAATCTTTTTTAGCAAATTGGTACGAACTGAACCAGAAATACTGCTCAACAAATAGAAGAGATATATAGGTTATTACAGGCTTTGCTCCTCTTCCCAATTTTAAACATATTTAAATATATATATATATATACTCTTCTCCTATGTGTCCAATGTCTGTCTGTGCAAAAGGGATTCATTTCAAAGCTTTTGTCCAGATTTAGTAGGGCTGCTCCAGATGAATGGTAATCAGAGTTACATTCTACGTGGCACATCTGTAAAGAATATCTTCTAAACACATCTTAATTCACTTTTTCATTTTTCCTTTTATGCTGCTGCACAAGGAAAATTGTTATCACAACGAAACCCAAAATTGCATTTTAAAAATACAGTTGTCAATATTGAAGCTGGGAGCAAACAAAGGAAGTAAGACACGGAAGACAATTAAGACATGGAAATATATGTTACAACATATGTCCAGAGAGAGAAGGCAGCCACTATAGCACAGTTCTTTGCCCCAGCTGAGAAAATTCTACACTTCTGCAGTTATTATGTTTTATATTAAACGTGGTAACCCTGGAAAACATTTCTTGATATTAGTCCAGTAAACAAACAGGATTTTTATTCGGCTTTCTTGAATCCTTCCATTTAGTTAACTTTTCTGAAACCTATACAATGGGGAGAGGAAAAAATCTTATTAGATTACTTTCAGACATTGATTAATACATGACATAAATCTGTGTTTGTGGAAATATAAGCATGCACTGCCCATTTCTTGAATGCTGAACATAGCCATTCAACAGGAGCAAGGATTTTTTAAAAAAGAAAAAAAAAAGATGGCAAATGACTTTAAATTACTCATCAGCAATCATAAGATGCTGCCTGACACTCAAATGTGGATTGAAAGCTTTTTAAAAGCTTCCTTAGATTTCTTGAGTAAAAAGGCAAAAGATTTATGCGATCTGAAGAGAAACATTCCATGATTGGGTGTTACAGCTAGGAATGTCCTTTGCTGCATCTCCACATGATTTCAATGGTGGGAAAGAGAGGATGGGTCCCCCAGCAGATTTCAGTATTCAGTAAGGAATGTATGGGGAGAAGTAGTCCCTCAAATCTCTAGGTCCCAAGCCATTTAAGCCTTTAAAAGTAATTATCATTTTGAACGTAAGTTGGAAGCATATCACCATCCAGTGCAAGTCTTTTGGAACTGGAGTGGAACGGGTTCTGAAAGGTGTTCCTGCCGGGAATCTAGCTGCTGCATATTACATCTGTTGCAGCATTTGTGTCATCTTCAAGGGCAGCCCTTTGCAGAATGCATTGCAGTAGCCAAGACAGGAAGCTACCAGTGTATGAATGCACATATGGATGTGTGTGTTGTGCAACACTAGGCCAGATGCAGTCTTATTATGCTTTTTAAAAAATTCAAAGCACTTCAAAGGGGAAGAAGGACCAACTGCAAGTCTTTTGTGGTTAAAAATACACATACATACCTCTAACTACATTGTTCTCTTCTCTACTTCTTCCTTTTCACACACACCCCAAACACACTTAGTCTGCTGCATCAAGTTTATATTGGCTCTTGGTGGCTCCTTAGCTTTGCCTGTGTAACATGCAGGTCTTGGTATACATGTTGTCACTCATGTCTATATCAAGATCTCTTTCTCAGGATGAGACCGAGAGCCTCTATAAAATTGATTTTAACATTCCTGAGGCTGTAATTTAAAAAACAGTGTTTCTTTTTCCACCTCTGGAAAATTCAGCCAGTGAATCTTCATGGAGCTTGATGAAGAGGCAAGGGAGAGGGGAAGCAAGACGCCCTGTAGCTACATGGGCCATGAGGAGAATTACCAGGCATTTGAACTCTCTGAAGCAGGGGAACAAACCCTTCCAGGATGCTTCGAATGCGGTATACTATTGAAAAACAAAAGAGATATGGTTACATACTCAGTCACAGAAGCATGTGGAAAGGTAACATGGCACATATATATAATATAGCTTGAGTATGCTTGGGAGTTTGATTCCTCACTGTGCAGAATCAAAAGTGAGGAATCAAACCAGGGCCGGACTCCCCATAGTGTTCCTTGCAGCTCTGCAGTTCTAAGATGTGATGATGATGATGATCTGAAGATGTGAGTTCTATGCACAACAGAGTTCATTTGGGAGTAGAAATATATATGTATATATACACAACAGAGTTCATTTGGGAGTAGAAATACATATCACATCATGCAAAGCCCTGCATCTAAACATAAAGCAGATTACTTTTGCTATCTACCAAGGAAAGCCAATATGATACACACATACCGAGCCCAAAATATATTCCAGTTGTTTCTAAAGATGCAAAGGTCATCAAACCGACACCAAGTGCAACTATCCAGTCTTTTAAAAAAAGAAAAAGATAAGTGTTAATATATCAAATGGTGTTCTCTGTTTACCAAAATGAAACCAATACATCACAATTTTGACTTACTGTTGTATTTGTAATAGCAAACAAGTGAGGCACCAGCAGCAAAGCAAAGAATGACAAAATGGAAGAATTCATCTGAAACAAGAAAGGAATAAAGTATCACAGAATCAAAAGAGGGTATATTTTGTTCATGTTTCCATACCAATTAAAGCCTTTGGTTTGAGAAGAGCATGGGCACTAGCGTTCTGGTCATCCACACAGTTTCATTAGCAGCCCGTTAACTATTATTATGCACTACATTCAGCATAAATAATACATGCCTGCTTTCCAGATGAAATATGCACCCACCTTTAAGTAGAACAGCATCTGAATCAACAGACCTCTTAGTAATATACGTTATTTATGATTTGGGAACATGCTTTTTCAGGTATCCGCACAGAGAGATGCTGAGCTATGAACATCTTCACAGATTGTTATGAAGAGTACTGTCCAGTTACTAAAGAATCTTAGTTTGGATTTTCAAGATGTAAAGTATAACAGTTCTCTCATATTGTTTGTTCTTGTGAGCTATTTCACTGTCACTTCACAATCCTAGGCAGGAAAATGGGAATTTTTAAAAAGGCATCAGGTATTCTGACTATGGTTATGATAGTTAATATCTTACCATCTTTTCGTATGTAGGGTATGCACCATCTTGGATGGCGAGGCGGGTGGTTGTCAACATGTTCATACACTATGGAGAATAAATTTGAATTGAAGCAATAATCAGACAAGTCCATTCAACTGCATCAATGGGCTGGAACTGTAAAATTTAAGTTTACCCACATATTTGACACAAATTTTGGTTTGGCTGAAAATTACACGAGGAAAGGGACCACCAAACTTTGAAATCTCTCATTTATATTTACCTGCTGCAGGTTCTCTCTCTGTCTCTTTAACCTCTGAAAAACAAGAAGACAGCTTGTAAAAATTAAGAGGTAAATTTATAGGAAAAAAGGTTTTAAAATAAGCCATATCATATTGATATGGAAATAGAAGGGGAAGATATGGAGGCAGTGACAGATTTTACTTTCTTGGGCTCCATGATCACTGCAGATGGAGACAGCAGCCACGAAATTAAAAGACACCTGCTTCTTGGGAGGAAAGCGATGACAAACCTTGACAGCATCTTAAAAAGCAGAGACATCACATTGACAACAAAAGTCCGAATAGTCAAAGCTATGGTTTTTCCTGTAGTGATGTATGGAAGTGAGAGCTGGACCATAAAGAAAGCTGACCGCCAAAGAATTGATGTCTTTGAATTGTGGTGCTGGAGGAGACTCTCGAGAGTCCCCTGGACTGCAAGGAGAACAGACCTATCAATTCTAAAGGAAATCAAACCAGAGTGCTCACTGGAAGGACAGATCCTGAAGCTGAGGCTCCAGTACTTTGGCCATCTAATGAGAAGAGAAGTCTCCTTGGAAAAGACCTTGATGTTAGGAAAGTGTGACGGCAAGAGGAGAAGGGGACGACAGAAGATGAGATGGTTGGACAGTGTCATCGAAGTTACCAACATGAATTTGACACAACTATGGGAGGCAGTGGAAGATAGGAGGACCTGGTGTGGTCTGGTCCATGGGGTCACGAAGAGTCAGAAACGACTAAACAACAATATCATATTCATGACAAGACTGTGATTTGTATGTATCTGGGGGTATAGACTGATATATGGGAAGAACTTTCCTTGTTCACCAAGCTTTATCTGACTTTAACCTACAGAAACAACAGTATTAACTTACGCACACAAAGACCTTGGCTTGAGATGACCACTAGAGGGTGCGTTGGGAAATTTGGACCAACCAACCAACCAACCAACCAACCAACCAACCAAACAACCAAACAAACAAACAAACAAACAAACAAACAAACAAACAAACAAACAAACAAACAAAACCCTAACATAAATTGATCTGGCTTCCTTGTTCAAATTTCCCTCTTTTAAATGGTTTCATATATTAACTTCTTTCAGTAATATGTATATTTTGTTTCTTTTTGTTTGAGGCCATATCACACATTGTTTGATATAGAAAACCAGCACACTTTACTAGCACATGCTCCTGTGGCAGAGAATTCTGGCTATTCCAGGTATCCTGGCACATGTTCTTGCAGGATTCATGCCATGGCAAATACTTGTACATGTATCACTTTTGTATGTGCTTGTGAAAATCACAATGTTCAATATAGCCCTCCATCAAACTAATTTTGGTGATCTGCCAGCTGATTTCTTTGTTTGTTACATTTAAATCTTGCCCCTCTAGTGGTGAACCACTACTTTGGGCTGCTAAAAACAATTAGAAACACATAACCACCCACCATACAAAAATCACACAAACAATAATAAAAATGAATAGTGAAAAAGATAAAAAAAAAGAAAAAGAAATCCAGAGGCAATGGCAAACAAAATCCAAATTCAAGCACATAGATCCTCAAGAATATCATGGGAAGAGTTTACATTTTAAAACACAGTTCTTAATAAATGATTAAGTATGCACAATTATTTTGATCAAAAATTCCTAACATTTTAAAAATATTGTACCTAATAAGAGATGGACAACTTGGCCATCTCTGGACCACACTCTACTTTTTTTCTCATTATTTTAAACTGGAAAAGTCCCCTTGTGCCTTTACATGGCCAAAATATTATGTTAATTACGTTTTTTTAAAAAACCAAAAGGGTGTGTGAGGAGGGCTCCAGAAATCCTGGCAGTGTCTCAGTCTAAACCATGGCAAAAATGCCCTTCATCCCCTAGAGGGCACACATTTTTTGCATTACAAACTTTAACACTGGGGTGTGTGTGGTAAGTCCTATGGGGGCTGCTGGAGCCCCATGGCCACATTTAGAGTGCACTTTGCCCACCCCGATGGTGATGCATCAACTGAGCAGCAATAGCATGGAATCCCAGTACTATAGCCACTGCAGGGCGCTATAACTGAATGCTGCACTTTACCAAAGGAGCTACAGGAATTGACAGAGAAGGATCATTACACCGTCAAACCCACTGACGCCATGACCAATATGCACACAGAACCACCACCACCCCTCCAGGGGTGCTATCAGAATGGTGACTAAAATAAACCAGACTGCTTCACTGCTTCCAGCTGTACTTCCAACTGCTTTTGTTTCCTTTCCCTTCTTCTTTTTTCTTTTTTTCCCATTTAAAAAACGGAGTTGTATTTATACAAACTGTCAGAGCCTGGGAAAAGAACAGGCTGCCAACAGCTGTGACCCAGAGGGCCCCTTGGGGATGGCATCCCATCGGAGGCCCGCTGCCGATCCGGTGGTGGTTCCTCCTTGCCGCTTGCTCCTTTGCGCACTCCATGACCTCCTTAGGCCTGGTTGTCTCTGGAGGAGATGACGCCAGTTACATCCCAAGGAAAGGCAAGAGAGTGGATGAGGACAGCAATGATGAGGAAGAGGAAGATGTACCAAGGGGGCGGGGAGAGAGAGAAGGAGGATTAGGAACAAACCAGCTCCAGGTTTTAGACTACATACCTGTGTCACCATATGGAACAACTTCGCCGGATGGGTCTAGAATGATGCCGATGCACAAAAGAGATAAAACTACTTAAAAAGCCATGTCGACAGTCTCAGAAACACCAAAACATATTGCACCATCGAAACAAAACAAAAATGAAGCAAGGATAGGCTGCAGGCTCTGCCAGTTAAAATGTCTGGGTAAGCAATGCACTGAGATGGCACTGAAACATCTGCAGTGTTGATGGGAAGGGTATTTCCAACCTTGGGTACCACAAGCAGGAATCTCTCTTGTAATCACCCTTTTTATCTCTAAAAGGGTTGAACAACACAGGGCCTAAAGCAGAGCCACGTAACATTCACCTAGAGACTGCCCTCCAGCGGAATGTGAAGTCGTTAATCAGCTTTCCTGCAGCCTGTCCACTAAGCCAGTGATGAGTCTTGTCCACCTCACAAAATGCAACAACTGTGTATGGTCCAGTCTATAGTTTTCAATTTTGTCAAGGAGGATACCATGGGAGACTATGGAAATACTTTGCCAAAATCTGGATTATGCATACAGTGACCTCTTCAGAAAATACATTAATGAGGTAAAACTCGAGCAAAGATCCCACAAGTTCACAAATTCTGTTCCAAGCTTAGACCCAATCTGCCAAACTGTCTCAAACTGTTTTAGGAGTGGCATTCAAATATGTACCTCATTGTCATTCTCCAAATGCTTATGGTTAAATAAGCAGAAACAAAACTCTATAAAGAAATTGGTATCTGTTCTTTGGAAAATGCCATTTTAGTATAATTAAATAAACAAATTACATCACGCTTGCCTGCTACAGGAGGACAAGGTACACAGGAAAGATTTTATTGCAGGAAAGATCTTATCAGTGGCAAGCTTGTTCAGCAACATAAACAGTTTTGTTTGATCCAGGACAACATATCCGTCTCTTTCTCAGACACAGTGACATTTTGCATTACCTTTCTGTTTTACTGTACGATCTGCTGCAGAAGATTTGTGGTGCTTCATTGCTGCTTCTATAAAAACAAAAGGGGAGCTTGCAATTCATGTTAAGAAGGTCACGAACACCAGAAGAAAAGGGAATTAATATTTCCCCATGCTCTGTTTAGTGTTCAACATGTTCTATATCCTTATTTCATTTATCTTGTTCAGTATTTTGGTATATACCTTATTGGGAGTTCAGAGAGATCTCATGCCTCTTGGACCTTGGTGTTTACAGGTACAGAAATGGTGGTTGTGACCCCAAGAGATTAGCACGTGGTTTAGAGCCCTTTGTATTATTTAGAAAAAAAAAGTCCAGTGACTGCTAATCTGGAAGTGTTATCAAACAGCTGCAAATGCCCGCCCGATTGCACAAGAAAGGGTCACATGAACTGGGATGGTCTCCCTTAAAGAGGCCCTTCTGTCTGCCAGGGAATCACTTCCAGCAAAGCCCGAAACAGGAGAAGCCCTGGGGCACAGATTGGGGTCAGTCTGGAGTGCCTTCCTCCGTACATCGTGTGATCGCTGGTATATAGATCAAACCAGACCACTCCACAAGCAGTCCAAACTGCAGTCCATTTCCCCGTGTGATCACATCTTCCTACTCCTTTGCCTGCTTCTGTCAGGCCTCTTGGCTCTGTGTCGCTTTGACGGCCTTTGGGGATCTCTGCATATGTCTGCTGAATCCAATTGCAGATTTCACTCTGCAATCCATGAAATTCTGTTTCCAGTGCTTGCAATCTGGGCTCTAAATCGCTTCTTGTGATAAAACATCTGTTTTTAATCACAGGTTGATTAAAAGAAAAGTAACAAAAAAGGGAATAAATTAAAAGTAATTTATTCCCGTTACTTGTTATAGTGTTTGAACAGTAATGCACTGTAATGGCTCCTAATAGGGTTGTAAAAGTTAACTGGACCAAAAGCTGGGAAAACAAAATTTAAATAACAAAATGGACAGGATTTTCATTTGTAAATGTTACACATCAGTTTTGGTCGTGAGTTTAGAACTAAGCCAGCAATACACTACAAATCCTACAAATGTATTTCTGTATCAGTGATTCAGGGAAACAGCTGAAAGTACACTTGACTTTGGTTCATTAATTCAGGGTTGTTTACCCTTGTTAGGATCCAGCATAGGTTTTGGCCCTGGACGTATTCATGGAAGAGGCTTGTCTGACTGCATAGCCTTGGCTCTTATTTCCAAACTTGAGAGCCACTAGAGAGAAGGTTACTGAACCCATTAAAGGGCACACAGTGACTTTGAAAGAGGCCCTTCTCCTTGAAAGTTCCATCTATTGCACTCCGCAGGGCACAAAAAACCCCTACCGAATAGTTTATATATGGAAGAATTAATGTCACAACGGTATAAAGCCTCACACCAACAAATTTCTTTCTTTCTTTCTTTTTTAAAAGTTGTATTTTAGATCATTTAAATTTCATTATTTCATTATTTCTTTCTAAGCAGTCAAGGAATAGAATTAAGTAACTATGAGAATGATGCTCCTCCAGCATCTGTTCTTTGTATTAGTTTTTCCTGCACAGAGCAAGAGGAAATTGAGTTGGATTGTTTCACATGGTACTAACAGGGCGAGATGTCATTCAAGACAATCTATATCTTAAATAGAAGATAAAATATATCCATCTAAAATAGGTAGAAACATGAGCAATAAAATGGTATGTGATAACAGTTAAAGAAACAGATTAAGTTTCAAGACACTTTTCTGATTAATTTGCCTTTGATATAAGATCAGCATAACTATCTCTCTGGTTCTGGAGTAATTTTGATTGATGGATAGGCTGACTTGTGATGTATTTTTATGTTTCTTATTCAGGCATTAAGATCATTAATTATTTTTCAATTATTCTTTTATTGAGTTATTGTCTCTAATTTATTGACTACAAGTCACATTGAGAGATAATTTTTAAAAATATCCAAAATAAATAAATATAACCTAATTCCATTAAGAAACAGAAGGTTAATTGCCTTATTTTATTTACATGTAAGGGAATAAATAGCCATAAAATCTCAGTAATTTAATAAGGCTTAAGTAATGTATCTCAGTAATAGAGTTAAAGATATGGGCCTAAATCCAACTGCTCAAATTGAGCAGACTAATTGAATTAATGGTACTTCAGTCATTCAACATTTCAGAAGTCCAGCTTTTTCAATGGGTATAACAATAACTAGGACAAACAACTGGATTTAGCACACATATTTTCAGCCTACTTCTGTATCTATTTACCTACATGCTGCAATATTTTCAGATCAACAAAATTCAAGAAAAATTACAATCTAGCAACAAATTTATTGTCAATATCAACCTTTTACAAACAAACACCTATTCATCAAAAGCACAATATGAATAGTAAATATTTCATTATTAATGTATATATAAACTAGAGTTTGAAAGTAATGAGTTAGCATGGCATTAATTTTTTTGTTTAAAATTATTATGATGAAGTTACATTTCAATAGTACGGCAATAAGAGAGAACAAGGTTCACCCCCTGCTGTAACTAATAGCATTTCAAAGTTATTTTTAAAGGGCACTTTCAAGGACACTTACATATTTTTCCCAATCTTAAAAAGCAATTCCCCTGCCCCACAAAGGCAAAGAAAAGTAACAAAGAAAAAAAATAACACAAGTAATATAATAAGTTGCTTTTAAATACTGTAATAAATAATGACATGAAATTATTTTTAAAAACACTATTAAAATGGAAGGAGAGGAGGACAATAGAAGAAGAAGAAGGAGAAGAAGAAGAAGAAAAAGAAGAATATGGCAAGAGGTCCCGTATATGGTGGTGGGGAACACTGTTATTGTGTTTCAGTTTATATGTTTTTATGTTTGATTTGTTTTTTGTTATAGTTATAGAAATAAATAAAAAATATTTGGAAAAAAATGGAAGGAAATGAGTCTTTAAAGAGCTCAGCAACAAAGTTACAGAAATTTACTCACTTGAAGGCAGACAACTGAATGTTGTGATACAGTTTAGTCCCACTCTAATAGGTAGCGCAATGCTGGTCCTGTGGCGTTTACACAAACACAGGATTTCAGCTGATGGGTCTTTTGAGAAACTTTACAATTGGGCCTTTTGAGAAACTTTTTTAAACATGGCTTTTTACTCAAGTTATCTTTATTATGTGGCTTCCTGACTTGACAGGAGGCAAGAGGAGACTGTGATGCTTTTAAGTCCCATGACAGATTCTGGGTTTGATACGGATAGGTGAAGCAATAGTTCTAAGTTCATAGAGAACTGAGAAACAAAAGTGGAAAGTGAATGTTAAGAAATATGAGTCAGTGTAGAGTTAGTGCAGCAAGGGGGGACACATATATGGGCATAGGTGCATTCGTCCCAGGATTGGACAGAGGGACAGAGAGGGGTTGTGTTGCGTCGGATATAAAATGTATTGCTGAATGCTTGAATAGCAGAGACCACACACTTTTGGCTTTCTCGTGAAGGGACAACCTTGTTTAGTAATGGTAGTTGATCAAGTACACACGGGGATGGGAATGAATGCAAGTGATAGCCTGCCCTTCCCCTTCTGCAAGCAAATTACAGTGGTGCCTCGCATAACAAGCGCACCGTTTAACGACGAATCCACATAGCGATGCAGATTTTGCAATCGTTTTTGCGATCACATAGCGATGTTTAAATAGGGTAAACATTGCATTGCGATGATCGGATATGCGTTTCGCTTACTGATCTTCGCAATGTGATGTTTTAGAACAGCTGTTCAGTGGTTCAAAAATGGCTGTCGCATCAAGAAAATGGCCACCCGCAGCGTTTTTGTGCCGATTCCTCACTTACTGAGGCAGCAAAAATGGCGGCCGGATGGGGATTTCTGCTTAGCAGTGAGTTTTCCCCCCATAGGAACGCATTAAATAGTGTTTAATGCGTTCCTATGGGGTTTTTTGCCCTGTATAGTGACGTTTCCGGACAGCGATGATTTATCCGGAACAGATTATTGTCGCTATGCGGGGCACCACTGTACTCAGGAACAGGAAGCATTTGTGGACACATGCTACTTAAGGATCTAATTCACTGATTTTTTCTTTTCTGGATGGGCTACCAATTATCACCCAGGGTTTCAAAGGGGTGCTTGTGTGGGAGCAGGATTTTTCACTTTCTGGTACAGGTAATTAAGCCCCAAGAAGGAAGAAGATCGAGAAGGAGTGTAAATGTGGAAAAAGTCTTTGGTGTGTGTGTCTGTGTCTGTGTGTGTAACAGAATACCGCACATAACAAGTTTTAGTTCCAACAAGTCCAAGCATTCCTATGCTACCAAGACTCAAGTGATTTTTCTTGAAAAGATAACTATCTAAAGAGATCAAGTGCCTCATTGTTTCAGCAAACATTGCTGAAACAATTTACTTGCCCCAATGAATCCCCAGAGTCCTTTCCGTCTAGAAGAATATTTTGGATAATGCTCTGAGGCAATTGACATAGGTGAGGAGGGCCTAGGGATGTTTCAGTCCAGCCCTGACTGGATGGCTTCAGATGATCTCCTTCATTTCATGCCCAATGTGATGAAAACAAATGGTGATTATGGGAAACCAGTCTATTCAATATGCCTAAAACCACAGATGCTCCAAATAGTAAGAAAATAGCCACGTGCATGAAGTAAAATGGCTGCCGAAACATAGGCACCTAGAGAAACTGAAGAAATGAACTAACCTGTGTGGTGTTACTAATGTTTATAATTGCCTCTTTGGTGGTTCTGAGTGAGCAGGGTCTCGCTGTTTCAAAGATGAACTGTGCTGTCCAGAAAAAAGAGAGAAATATGAATGATTGATGAAGACATCTCCTCAGAACAGTGTCTGCAACTAATAATAAAACAATGTCTCACCCAGGATGTCACTCATGCTTCCTGGGCTGGGTGCAGTAAGTCTAAGGTAATCTTAAATGAATGTTCTCAGGCAGACTGACTCATAGTAGCATCGACTACAGTTTCAACTGATCATACTTTTGGCGGACCCACTTTTATTTGGCTGAATGCTAAGACACTAACTGGGTGCAAAAACTGCAGGCACCTAAATACTGCATTGATTGCATTTCTCCACATTCACAGAACACTGTGTCCTGTATCCAAGTAGCTCAATTTTTCTCAATTATTCTTTCAGCATCCTACTTCAGTTTGAAAAAGGCAAAATCATGTTCCAGGATGAGGTTGATATTTGGACAGAAATTAATGAAATCCTGGTGGAATTTTTCTAGGCATTTTTTTTAATAATTGGGCACTGGTGAAAGTTAGTGAAATTTAGACAATTGTCTCTCAGTTTCTTGTGTGTAGTTTGATTTGTCCATGACAACACAAGCATCACCCTTATCTTCCCCTTTGATGACTATGTTGGGATTATTTTTGACGCTGTGTACAGCATCGTGCTCTGTTTGAGTGAGGTTATAGGGTTAAGTTGTATCCCTTGGTGATGATTTTACCCGGGCCTGGTGGCAAAAACATTCAATATAAAAGTTCAATCTTTGTTTCAATGATTGGTGTCCAGGAAGTGGATGGGTTTGGTGCTCTATTACCTTATTTCATTTATTATTTGCTAGTGCCTCTCAACATACAATGGCAGCCAAATAATAGTTTTTTTTTTCCAGTGAAGTAAATTTCAGCCAGCCAGCAATAATCATGCATTATTCATTAAGAGCTACATCCACTTGTTTGGTATGTGCTGATTTATGCCATATGTCACTAGAATCCTGGGGTTATCTTGCATACAGGGCCTTAACAGTATTAAGAGTATATGAGAAAGGGTGGTAATGCCATTACTCCTTTGTATTATAAAGATAATATCTATGTAAATAAACAGTACTTTGTATTTATAACCATAGAAACAGTTGTTTTTAAGAAGAACAATTGATCAAGCTTGCAAACAGAATGGAAGATAGTTGGAGTAAGTTGGGGAGAAGGCATAGCCCACTGAAAAGAGACATCTGAGGTCTTTGTAAGTCTTCAAACTTGCTAATACAGTTTGGGTTTCTGGGGAAAGGGGAGGCCATGTGCCCTGAATGAAGTGGGGGAAGGGCAGTGGAAATAAGACGAGAAGGAAAATTCCAACCTTCAAGAGTCTACATGGCTTTGGAAGGAAGAAAAGATCAGCGGGATTTCACGTAGAAATATTTAGAAGTACTAATATTTTATATTTGACAAAAATGTATGAATAGAATAAAGAAAAACAGATAACAAGAGTTGAGAGGGACATGTAGTGTAATGTAAGCACATATCCAGAGAAAATATGTGAGACAGAGAAATGAGAGAGAGAGAGAGAGAGAGAGAGAGAGAGAGTAAAACCTGTTTGTCAGAGATTGGGCTCTGATTAAGCGAAAAGGAGCTTGGCACATATGAGCTCAGGATGTTCAAACATAGCTAAGAAACCTGTACAGAAACATTTATTGTAGCTAAAAACATGAACTGGCCATTCACACTTCAGGAAAACCCTTGCTTTCTATCTTAAGAATTACTGTATTTAAGGTCCTATTCAATGTACAAGATGTGTATCCTTCCCCATAATGCCTGCCCCTCCTGCATTTACCTGCCAGAAGCAAGCTTCCTTGATTTGATGCAAAAGGAAGAGTGTCCTGAAAGATGGCCAGAGATGATTAAACACTCCCCAAATGCCCTCACGTTGCCACCTTTAAACTGCTCCTCTGTTGGTTAATTTGAACAAAGTGCCAGGACAGTTCTTGGTATGGAAAGATTTTTACTGACATTTCTCAGCATTACTGCTCACATTCTGTTTTCTCTGTATGTTGTCATAGATAAGTTTCACATACAGAAAAAAATAAAGCTTCACTGCTAGGCGCACCTTTCAGGTTTCAGTAGTCTTCACTTTCATTTTTGGCTTATACCGGTTTCCCTTATAAAAATTCAAAGGTTTTAATATGAAATTTGTGTCTTGCCATATGGGGTATTAACATCATCATCTACATCTCATGTTTTAATTCTGCCTCTATTGCATTAATGTATTTTTCTGGCCGGGCCAGGAAGTTTCTTGAAACAGAGGCTCCCTGTTCCAGATCTTCCCATTCCCTTCCCCCAAAATAATTTTTAAAAATCATTGTCAACTTCCCTATGTATTGTTCTAATAAAAAAGCTCATAGCCCAATGTTTTATTGATCCACGCCTGCAGATTAAACTTTGATGATTTCTTCCTCCTCAACCCACCAGGTTTTGCCACATTTACAGAAGCTGGATAAAACTGCATTTTTAATCCATAGTCACCCTTGGCCACACTTTGCAAAGCTTTTTATCCTTTGTCTGCTCTAGGAATTTTGCACTGGATAACCAGATGTCCTTAGTCTCCTAACTGTAATATGTACCTCAAGGATTTCTTCTTAGATGGTTTCCTCCTTTGCTTTATTATTTACTTTTGGCTTACATAGAATAAGAGAATAGTTGCATTGAAAGGGGCCGATAACGTGATCGAGTCCAATCAATGCAGGAATCCAAATCAAAGCAGATCTGACAGATGGTTGTCCAATTTTTTCTTGAATGCCTCCAGCACTGGAGTACTCACCACATCCTGAGGTAATTGGTTCCATTATCATACTACTCAAACAGTTAAGACATTTTTCCTGATGTTTGTTGTTTAGTCGTGTCCGACTCTCCGTGACCCGATGGACCAGAGCATGCCAGACCCTCCTGTCTTCCACTGCCTCCCGGAGTTGGGTCAAATTCATGTTTGTGATTTTCCTGATATTCAGCCCAAATCTGATGTCCTGTAGCTTGAGCCTACTATTATGTGTCCTACACTGGGATGATTGAGAACATGTCCTGCCCTTCCTTTGTATGACTACCTGTGTGACTACATAGTTTTTCCTCCCTAACTTTTCCTTCACAACTATAATGTGAGGATAATGCATCTAAACAAGCGAGCTACACGGGGTCTAGAAATAGACATCAATTTTCTTGTGAAGGAACTCAACACACAGAGGAGTTACATTCTAAATCTCAGTGGGAAGGTTACTTCCAGAATCAAATAAAGTGACCACCACTTGTTTAAAATGCTAGAAACAAAAAGAGGACAGGACAAATGAGCCTGGGAACCTGTTCTCATGGTAACCTATGAGGAGACCACCAGTAACACTAAGGCCTGTCCCTCACATCCAGGCATGCAGTAAAGTTGGCAGATAGGGGAAAGCCAGATCATTGGCACTACCTATGTTTGAAACAATACACAAGGCACGGAAATACACCTGAAAATAGGGCTTGCTGGTAAGGACAAGGAAAGACAGAACAATCACCGACGTTCAAAATTGCTACCCCTTTTGAAACTACAGTACTGAAGTGAAAACTCTGCTCATGACTCAGGTTCAAGCTCATATAGCTGGCTCATGTTTGACTCAGACTTTCATCCTTTCAAGGTCAGTAAAAAAATGTGTTTAATGTGACACCAAGTTAGAAACAGTGATCCTAAAAGGATTTTCAAGGTAAGTTGAGATATTTAAGGAGTGGGAAGTTCCACTTCTCCAGTGAGTTTCCGTGGCTGAGCAGGGATTTGAACCCTCTTCTCCAGAGTCCTAGTCTGTCACTCTGGCCATTACACCACACTGAGAATCTGCAATGTTGTAGCTGGGTGCTTTTCAGAGGGCATGAAGTAGTGGTGCAGGAATGGCCTGGAGGTAAGAGGGCTCTTCTGCCTGCTGCCATTTGACAGCCCAGTCCTGTTATTCGGCTCAAGTGGTTCCTGCTTAATCATGGGACTGGAAGTTTTTTCCCCCTGAAAGAACCATCCCTCATACATATGTCACCACATTACAATCTCCGGTTTCTACTGGGTGGAGCTGTGGCAGTTAGTAGTAAGAAACTGCTGTAACTGTGTAGTGTAGACAAACTTAGATTTAAAAGCACTGTTTGCTCAGTTATTCTCCTACTTATTAAGCAGATATGTCCCTTCAAACTTTCTAAGGTTCCCTGCTCAGACCACTTCAGCTATAACTATATTTATGCCTTGCTCACATTCACTAACCACCCAGTATCTCAACACAACTGTAGATTCCCTAAGTCTCAGAGGGAAAATGGATGCCTAATACAGATGGGAGTTATTTGTATACGAATACCCCTGCACAGGTGGACATAACGAGGGTCTGGTCCCCTGGGGCTGGACCATCCACTCACCCATCTGCTTCTGCTGCTGGCTCCATGCTCCCTTCCAATTGCTCCGGAGCTTACGATCAACTAGCCACTCCTGGCAGAAGGAGAGAAGACAAGCCTGCCTGCCAGGCTGATGAGTGGCTAGTCGGCCATGAGCTCTGAAGCAATTGGAAGGGAGTATGGAGCCAGCAGCTCCATCTCTAATGCCTGACACTCTTGGACAGTAAGATGGGATGGCAAGCAATTGCGGTTGCATTTGCACTTAGCCATCTCAGCATCTTGAGTAATGAGAACCACAACAAGAAAAAAGACAGCTTCATAAAATATACAAGCAGATGCGTATGAAAAGCACATTGCATATGATATTATTTTATATGATGATGTAGGTATTGGTATTGGTTATTGTTAAACATATAGTGAATTTATTTCCTGTTATCTGAACCTTAGGAGATGGGAAGCAAGTGTAACTTCTGACTCTGCCTGTTACTGGGTTCAAGCCCAGATCATGTGGAAAAACAGGGAAGAATGGCCATTAGGGATGCTTTCTCAAGGTAAAGTGTAATGGGCCAGAAAAGGAAAAGGGAACATTTTGTGCTTTCAGTAATTTCATTAATTTGTTTAACTAATTAATCATCCTGCCTCCTTATAGTGGCATGGAGAAGTGCCAAGTTCCTGAATTCTATGCCAACGAAACATACATCCTGGCAGATTCTTCTAAAAAGGATACCAGCCAGCCTAAGTAGAAAAAGACCCATTACCGTAAGAATTGTCACTGCTTGGCCATTGCAAATATACAGGTAATAGTTATGATCTCCATCCACAAAATGACTACCCTGGTTGACCAAATCTTCAAGATATTCAAGGATAGCTTACTTATCCTAGTTTCAAAGTGACCTGTCCAAAAGTAATTTATTCACAAGACAAAATGTCAAAGCAAAATAGATAACATTAATAAAATAATAACTCCTGCAGGTAACTTGTTAGTAGAGGAGGGAATTTCTTCAGGAGCTGATTGTGTCTGAGAGACTAAGGCAGAAGAAGCTTTCTTCACCTTCTGTAATTTGCAAATCAGCTTGTTTGGTTTTTGTGATTTGTTTTCAGATCCGAAGCAGAGTTTTTACCTTGCAAGTCTGACTTCTCAGACACAAAAGACTGCTTCACTCAGCCTCTTGAACATCAACATTACCTGCGACTGTCATGATCCGTTTGCCTTAGCATATATTTTGGCCCAGAAATTGTCTGAAACAAGGAGACCTGGAGGGAGCTTTCCAAAACCCTGTTAAAGGAGCTTTTCCCCTTCCTGTCACCCTTTCCTAGTAGAAACAACCAAACAAGAGCTTCCAGTGCAGATCTGAACATGGAGGCAGGAAGGATTCATGACAAATCTGGTGGCCCTTAATGTAGCCCAGTGAGGAGTCATTCATAGGTTTAAATGTTATGATTAGCACTCTGATTAGTACCCCAAATCAAATGTAAATCCATTGATCCTAGATAAATATCATCACTTTTATATGATAGTGGGATTGACCAATTCCATAATTTTGGCGGCTTCATCAGTTCCATCACGTAGCCTCACAGGTAGCTTCTGGACCACTTGCAGTGTCCGAGCACTCTTCAAAGGCAGCTCCATATTCCACTGTGTTGATACCTCAAATTGCCTAATTTGGGAGTGCTGTCTAGTACCATATCCCCTCCACAATAGGGTGAATAGCAGACACTACAGAGTAGGTGCGTTCATGTGGTGTTTACCTGCATACAAATGCTTTGATGGGTGTGGACATAATCAAACTGCACATGTGGAATCAACAGTATAAATATGGGGTGGCAGTTGCATATATTGGCTGGAAAAATGTAGGTAACATCTCTACAAAAATGGGCACATCATGTGAAAGCAGAGAGGTTGTGGTGATGAGACAATGTGGTCTAGTCAACAGAGTGTTGGATGACCTTGGGCCAAGCATCCTACTTATCAACCCCAAAATATGACGAAAGTGACCTTATATATCAATCCGAGTCCTTTGGACAAAGTGTAGAGTAGAAATGCTAGCAGTAATAGTATATAATAGTAATAAAGCTAGCTGGGCAGCTTTCTTGCATCAGCATGCACTGATAGCAATAATGAATATGCAAATTGACCACCTTCATATACTGAAATGAGAAACACCCATTGCTTGTACAAGGAGATAAATATGCATTCATAGATACAACATCTGAACAGTTTTTAAACACCAAGGCTGTCATCATATGAAAGCACCATCCTTTTTGAAATTCATTATTATTACAATCATGGCTCTTGGTCCTTGCTTGTTTTGCCTCTTTATTACTGCTTAGTAAAGGTAAAGGTAAAGGTTCCCCTTGACAATTTTTGTCCAGTCGTGTTCGACTCTAGGGGGTGGTGCTCATCCCCGTTTCCAAGCCATACAGCCAGCGTTTTGTCTGAAGACAATCTTCCGTGGTCACATGGCCAGTGCGACTTAGACACGGAACGCTGTTACTTTCCCACCGAGGAGGTCCCTATTGATCTACTTGCATTTTTTACATGCTTTCGAACCGCTAGGTTGGCGGGAGCTGGGACAAGCGATGGGCGCTCACTCCGTCGCGTGGATTCGATCTTACGACTGCTTGGTCTTCTGACCTTGCAGCACAGGCTTCTGCGGTTTAGTCCACAGCACCTCCACGTCCCTACAGTGCCACCACGTCCCTACTGCTTAGTTGTTGTTTTTTTGCAGTTTTACAAAGCGCTCTCCCAGAGGTCCCCCTGACGTAATCCTCCCTTCCCACTTCACCCATGTGCTTGCTCCCCTGGTTGCCAAGGGCTAATCATGCAGCCCTAGCTTGCGCTTATAGGCAGCTTCCTTCCATTCTAAGATTCTGTGGTGCTTCGTATATGTCCCTTCATTGTAGCCATTCCATGGCGGAAGTTGAAATGGAAGTGATCTCTCAGATGATGATTATCCAGATAAATCCATGGCCAGATGTGTCCAGCACAGTGGTCTCTGCTGAAATGCTTGGACCCTGATGTAAGGGGCTAAGCTACTGCTGCCATTGCCATGAGTAATATAAGGCACCATGTTTGATTTCTTCCTGCATCCCAGTCTTTAAATGTTGTTCCATCTGCCGGCTTCTTGGGACTGACCTATTATCATATATTTATTTCTGTGTCTAATTATTTTCCCTACCTGAGATCCATTCTTACTGCCTTAATTTTCCAGTCTTAAAACTATAACTTTGCAAGATGGTAGACACTATGCAGAGGGATGTAGTGGCACTGCAGGTTAAACCGCCAAAAAAAAAAAAGCCTTGGGCTACAAGGTTAAAAGATCAGCAGTTTGAATCCATGTGATGGAGTGAGCTCCTGTCACTAGTCCCAGCTCCTGCCAACCTAGCAGTTCGAAAGCAGGTAAAAATGCAAGTAGATAAATAGGTACCGCCATGGTGGGAAGGTAACATTGGCTACGTGACTGACCACAACTGAAACTTTCTATGGACAAATGTAAGCTCCATGGCTTGGAAACAGGGATGAGCACTACCCCCTAGAGTTGGACATGACTGGACAAAAATTGTCAAGGGGAAACTTTACCTTTTACCTTTAGATACTACACATGAAAGACAACTATCACTTTTCTCTCCCAAAAACCACAATTTCCTTGATCTTTGGTTGACAACTACTGCCACTTAAAACATTTCGTTCTGTTTGTAGGACTGAATCATGTAAATGTAGTTGTTAATCTACCGAACTTGTGGAAATCATAGCAATACATCTTATTTGTGCTTACCTGGGCTTAAGACTTTCATGGGACTTAATAAGAGTAACTTCTGAGTAGATATGACCAGGTCTATGTTTCTAGTTACTTTCATAAGAGCACAGTACAGATGACTCTGAAAACTTTTCTTAACCAAATGCTTGAACCCAATAAATACATTTAGGGTCTAAGACAAAGACCACCAATCATATCACCCCACAAATAATGCTCACTAAAGACAAAATAGCCAGTGTTTAAACAAAGAAAGATCAGGTGCTTAGCTCAGATTAAATACGGCTCAAAACAAGGCACTTACCAACATAAAGCTCAGGCTTTCATGCCTTGCATTCTCAGGTAACACTCCAGGGGTTGGTCAGAATCTAATCTCAAGAAAGCAAAAAGGTTTTTGAAATAGCAACACAGGAGGATATAAAATTGAGAGAGGCAATTCATCACATGTATTTTCAGAAACTGGACTTTCTGGTCTGTTTTGTCCTGCTCCTCCTTCTGCTAAGAAACACCCTATCAGATCTATTAGTTACTCCCAGCCTTTCCTACTAATTGCAAAAGCTACATGTCAATAGGATCTTGCTACTTTTATTTAAACCTAGAGGTTTCATAATAACATGCTGGTATGTGCAAGAAACAGAACCCTTTCCTGCTTGTGGTAAGAATGCACTTACTCAAGACAATCTTACTTCCTCCTCACTGGTAGTACTAAGAAGCTGAAGGCTTGGGAGATTTTAAAAATTCTTCCTCTGAACTGGAGTTGTAAGTTTGTGTGGGGCTAATCGTTCTGATCCTTCTGGTGTCTAGAAAACCAGACACAGAGAGAATATTCACCATCTGTCCCAAATCTCTCTCTTTCTCTCCCTCTCCCTTTCCCTCCCCCTCTCCCTCTCTCCGTGTGTGTGTGTTTTAAAAATCTGTATTATTGCTCATGAAGGAAATACCATTCTGAGGAACTGATAAATTTATGGTGCTATAATTGGACTATAGCCTGGATTCCTCTTGAAGCCACAAGGATGTTTGCTTTATAATTCACTGGGAGCCTTTGGAAACTGTGTTTCATATATAAGACACCTTGTTTCTCCCCATCCCATAGCAGGAAAAAAAAATGCCAGTGTTCGGCAAGGAAGCCTGTCTTTTGGTTGAGCGCCCAGTCCTCTCCCTCTGGACTCCCTGCCCAGCCTTCTTTGGCAGGCCACACCTAACGACTTCTAGCACTTTGGCATTCACAGCAGGTAACAATTGCAATGTCAAAGCAGTGAGTAGCCACATTGGCTAATCCCCTCTCTGTGTCATCCAACATCCATTTTTTCAGGATACTATCTTTCAAAAGAGTAGTTAGGATGACAAATAGGAAACATTTGCATTGCAGGGCACTTGCACCACGGCTGTTAAAAGAAGACAATTTGTTGCCTGAGAGAGGATGGCAAGCAACTTCATCCATCTATCCACTCATGTCAATGTGAAAAATGACTAGCCAACGTCTTTGGGTACATGAAACCCCCTTCTTATGCAGTGGGGAAAGTGTTGCTGCCCTTCTACGACACCCCAAATCTTCTGCTCGAAGCTTGACACTCGGCTTTGCTCGTACTGTCTGTTTAGCTTGGCTCAAAATCTCCTGGCACATAATTAAAATTTGCCTTTGTAGCCAGGGTTGGGCTCTCTCACATGTAAAGAGGTATTGCTGTCTGCCCATTTGGGTAGCGGGTTGCAATGTTTGTTTCACAATGGCAGCAAAGAGAAACAGGCAGACGAAAGCACAAGGGCACATGCTGCACGCGGAGCAGACCTGGTGCCCAGGTCTTGGTATTCCTGTAGGTACAGTGCATGCACTTTTGGTTTTCTGCTGTAAGAGCTACACATTGTTATACATTAATCATTGTTGCACACTGAAAGTTGTAATCTGACACATCAGAGGCTGTGGGAGACTGAACCTGAATCAACATATCATTTCCATTCTTCTCAATACTCTTAGCATGAATTTAATTTTTCACTTTTAGTCCAATAATTGGTACTCTCAGTTATTTGATCATATTATACGATCTGCCACAGCCATTACAACCTGAGCCTGTATCCAGTTCTGTTGTTTGGCTGTGTGAATGGACTCATCTGTAGAACCTGTGCATACCTTCAGATCCTACTCCAGAGGGCTGAGAATCAGGAGGCACTGAAAGATGGAAGGAGGATTGAAGGAAAGTCCCATTGCGTAATTCATGGAAATACTCTAGCATGACAGTCTGGCATGAGAGTAAATCACTGCAGAGAACTGCTGCTGGTTAAGATGTCAGCACTGATATTTCTTGTTGCATGGCTAGTCAAGCAACTATGTACAACAAGAAATGTAAGTCTTAACTTCTTCACTTAAAACAATTCGCTACAACAATTTACACTGTGTGATATCTGTGCTGCTGTGTGTAAAATATTAGGATTCTGGCACTATCTCCCATAACAGCAGCGTAGTTATTGTTAAATGGCTGGAGATGGTGGGCATTGTAGTTCACCCCATCAGTTGGAAAAAAGACTGACCTAGCAAGTAGAGATTTAGTAACATGAAATCAGCAAGAAAAACCTAATGATACCATGTTGAATGTTACATGGGATTATAATAGACAGAACAAACCAACAAGCAATATTTCTTCTTTTTACGAAGACTAAAGCCAACATGATGGACACAGATGGAGACAAAGAACCCAAACAGGAAAAGAGAGATTCTAGTTTTGAGAAGAAACAGATATGAGCATGGCAGAAATAGAATAGCTGAAGGCTACTATGAAGCAGTTATTCAAGGTCAACTTGTATCATTCAATGGCAAGAATACACGAAGCCTCCAGCAAAGGAAACTGTGAAATAAACAGTTGGAAGCTTTATGGGGATAACAAAGCTTCAGCGCCAAACATAATAGCAAGCCTTTGGTGTCTACTTGGCAAATGTCACTATTTGTTTTTCCACGTTTCCCCCCTTTTCATCTATTTGTACTTGTTGAAGCAGACCCACCTTTTGGAAAGGAGGGATTGTCTGGTAACAAAATGTTCCGCAGCCTATAGAACATGGGTTCCCAATTTGGGAGTTGGGATCCCCAAGTGGATTGTGAAGTGTTTCCTGCGGGGGTTGCCATGGTTATTTTTTACTTGCAATTATTTTTATATTTATTATATTAAATTTCTTGGTGAGTTATAAATATTTTCCTGCGGGGGTTGCCATGGTTATTTTTACTTGCAATTATGTTTATATTTATTATATTAAATTTATTGGTGAGTTATAAATACGGTGTACACAATAGTGCTTTAGTTCAATCCTCTTGGCCCACAGATAGATAATTTTAATCTGAACCAAAATTGCAGGCAACGAGAGTTTTTGGTTTGGATTTTTCTTTGATGTATACACATCACTCCAACCCTGTCTGAAAAAAAAGCCGCTCTCACGTGCTTCTCTCGGCTCCTCTGCCTCCACCTTTGGAGGGCTGTGTCAGCCTTTTAGACTTGAGTACTGTATTGTGTTAGCCCAGCTCAGAGAGGCCTTAATAAGGCAGACACATAGCTCATGCCAGGAATGCTGACACCCAGGATGGTGGCAGGATTGAAAAGTTGCTGCTGTCATGGCGGCAGCAACTTTTGCTCTACATGAGTTTCCCCGCACTTCTGGGTGTGGCAATGGTGGTACAGTGAAGGGAAAGGGGACCTGGGCAGAGATATGCCTCTGGGCCCCGCCGGAGTCATGGAAGATGAAGGCAACACGGGCAAAAAGGAGAGGGAAGAAACCTAGGGAGGGGTTGGGACACAGGGTGGGGCCTGTGGGGAAGATGTTTATTTGGGCTTGAGGGGGAGGGGCTCTTAACTGAAAGGTTTCTTGACAGGAGGAGACATGCAGGGAGTATCATTTCCACACTCAAAAAAATAAACTCAAACTGTATTAACTGTTTTTATCTGAAACAGACAGATTTACAGCCCCCCCTCATAATTATGGATAATTACATTGATAGTATTAGGGTAAAATTACATTGTATAAAATCTGTTTTAATGTGCTTTCTTTACCTCATTAAAATGCCTTTGCATTCAAATGTGGTGGCAGGTCTCAGGTTACTTGGCATTATAAAAGCAAGTCAAGACTCAAAAAGGTTGGGAAGTACTTCTATCATAGAATAATAGAATCATAGCAAATTCCTGTTGGTTGCTTCGATGACACTGTGCAACCATCTCATCCTCTGTCGTCCCCTTCTCTTGCCTTCACGCTTTCCCAACATCAGTGTCTTTTCCAGGGAGTCTTCTCTTCTCATGACATGGCCAAAGTATTGGAGCCTCAGCTTCAGGATCTGTCCTTCCAGTGAGCACTCGAGGTTGATTTCCTTCAGAATGGATACGTTTGTTCTCTTTGCAGCCCAGGGGACTCTCAAGAGTCTCCTCCATTCAAAAGCATCATAAGCACTGTTTGCATTATGCTACTATGGGTTTTGGCATTAGAGAATAATTATATTTTCTTTCTGTATTTCCTCTGAGGAGTTCAGGCCAGTGTGCATCTCCTCCAGCTGTAAAATCATCTTTTGTATTTTTAGAAATAAACACATGGAAAATAGGTCAATAATAAAAGCGAGAAATACTTCTTTAAAGAAAGCAGATTATACTGACAGTCTCCAATGGAATGTATCTCATACACATTGTTTTAAACTATTTAATTTTTAATTGTTTTATCTTTTAAAAAGTCTTGTTTCACATTGTTTTAGCTTGTTTAATGCTATTCCTAGGACAGAAATATTTAAATGAAGGAATTAATAAGTAATAACAATTTGCTCCCTTCTGCAAACTCTTTCTTGTCTTGATCATATTAGAGGCTTCCTCATTCAAGTAAATACCTCAAGGCAAAAGACATAAGCAGAACAATCCTCTCTGTGTGTGTCTGTGATTGTGTGCACCCGTGCACACACAGAGCTGATTTCCATGGGATAGGCATGTATAGCCCAAACAAGCTTTTTGGTTTGTTTGTTTCTTTGGTTACCACAGCGAAAGCTACAGCTTCTTTAAGAAAGGAAGGCAATGAGTAAAACTCCTTCAGTCTCTTTACCGTGTTCCATTTTTGTGAATTTGTGAGCAATTATCACCACCTTGTGGTCTACTATTGTAAGCTATTGTTCACTTGATGCCAAGTCAAGTGTACAGTATTTGTTTTGGATTCGGCTGAACCCTAATTAGGACAAGTGACATAGGACAAAGAGATGTATCAGTAGATTTTAGTAATTTCCTTCCCTCCCCTCATACCAGCTGTAGGGAAGGCTTGACCCAGACTGGAAGGGCAGCATAGCTATGTGTGTATTAACGTTTCTTTCCCTCGGATCAAAAACGTTTGCCCTGAAACTGCTATTTGCTCTCATAGACATAGGTAGGGAAACTGGAGCCGTCCAGATGTTGTCAAACCACAGGTCCGCTCAGCCTCAACCATTAGCCACACGGCTTGGAGGTGGTACAAACGGGAGTCAAATAGTACCTTGAGGGCTTCCCTACCCTGTGAGACATAAAAACCCTCCCCAAAGTTATGCACACATGTTTTTGTTT